TGCTGTCCATGACTTTTATAACACCCAATTTTTTTAATTTTACTTGGAGATGCATTGATTATAATAACGGATTATAATCATTTTTGACACCATAAGGATGAAGAAAACAAGGCTGTGTCCAGGCTGAAGCGTTACATCGCCCTCTGTGGTGTGAGACGGAACTACAAGAAGCTGTTAGACGGATGCCGCTCAGTAAAGGCGAAGGTGGCTGTGCTGAAAAAAGAGCTGGAGGAGCTGGGTGTGGAAGGTTAGTGTGCCTGTGTGAACACACTGCTGAATCCCCTCAGTGCTGTCAAATGTGCACTTGCAAATTTGTAATCCTGTTTTTCATCATGCCAGTGGAGTATCTTGGGTACCTTTAAATGCAATTTCTACTGTTGCAAAATGAGTTCCTGTGTGTTACTGAAAAAACGAATAATATAAATGTCAGTGTAATGCACTTTATTATACCCACTGTATTTTCCTTTGTACACTGAGAGTTTTATATGTTGCATATGTTAAAGTATTCTCATACAAACACGCTCTTATTACCTGTGAAATATGTCTGTCCCAGGTCAGCCCTCAATAGAGAAGTGTAAGAAAGCTCGACTAAAGAGAGAAGAAGCAAAGGAACTGGCTGAGCTGGATGTCAGCAACATCATCACCACTCAGGGTAATGATGCTTGATGCTGTATTTCTGAAGATACATTTAAAATCATGGGCAAAAGGATTCCAACACGCATGAATACCTAGAGATCAGGGAGTTGTATAATTGGGATTTTTACCTTGTTCGCCCCTAAAACTCATGAAATGTCACTTTGTTCATCAGGACGTCCCAAAAGGAGAGCGGCAGCGGCATGGCTGCCTGCACAGAATGTCTCTCCTCCGCCCTCTGCCTATAAACGTGTTGTGGAGTCAGAGTCAGATAGTGGAGATAGCCACACAAACACAGGGCGCAAGAGAGGAGCAGCTTGGGCCAACCTGCAGGGAATCATCAGTGATGATGGAGAGAGTGACTAGGCAGCAAGCACCTTTCCCTACGATCTGTTCCATCATTATACAGTGCATTCCTTAAATTCACCCTCTCTAACTCGCAATGAACTATTAAGAAAAATAAAAAATAAAGTTGAACCTGCTCAAATGAACCAGTTGGTACGTTGGCAAGAATTTTATGTGTACATCCTGTTATTGTAGGATGTGTTTGGATTTCTTTGTAGTAAGTTTGTTTTCTCTATTTCTGTGTTTTACAGTTGCTAGTTTGTACTTTATATTTAAGTGTCTCAAATGTGTAGAATGAGGTTCATGTAGCTTTGAAAATAAAATAATGTATATTCAATTTGTCTTACATTCTCTCCTCCTTGTCCCAGAAATGAGTTTAGACTTGATGTAAATGGCTGTAGTATGTCAATTTTACAATGTAGACGGAGTGCATTCTCAAAACTTCCTTTTTTATTTTATGTTGAGTGGTTCCAGCATAGTAAATGATTAGTGCATGTTTTCAAGGAAAACATCTGATTATATAGCAGAGAACAGCTTGGTTGTGTAAACTCTGATTATAGAAATTCAGACCTTGAGATGAAGCTAGTAGTATTATAAAAACAAAATCTCCTCTAATAGAGTGAATGCAGTGGGCCATTCTCTATCAACTTAACCAGAGGTCCCCCGCTCAAATTTTTTTTTATTTTGTTAAAAAAAAAAAAAAATTCTAATGACATGAAAGTCAAAATATTAAATAATATATATATTATTTATATATATAAATATTATATATAAAATATCATTATTTATGTTTGTCTTTCTTCAGAAAAAAAATCCAGGGACTGGGGAAGTTTCTGAAATTTGGTTGATTTTGAAACAATGGACCCCAGTATATTTGTATTGAATTCCATCATTTGCGGTTCACCAGTTTCAAATGTCAGTTCTCACAGAGAATGAGGATGTGAATGATAAAAGGGAAAACTTTATTTCTGGGATGACGTGACCAGAGAGTACAGTCATCCATTTCATTATACTCAGATGGTTTCTTAACTGCTGCTTTCTCTCCTGTCATTTTTTGCTGGCTTTATTTCGTTATTTAGAGAACAGCGCGCAGCATATATTTACATATTCATCTCATCGCCGCTCAGCAGCGTAGTGTTTGTTTGGCTGAAGCGCCGTGTCTTCTTCTATTGGATTGCATGCAGGAATTACAGTCTTGTGCTACAGTATCTCAACCCGCGTTATTGCATGCTCTTACATTATATGTTTGAGCCATTTTGGGTCAGACGCCCTAGACACATGATGCTGTAAATACAAGTCAATTTTAATTTCACTATTATGAATCCATATCTATTTATAAACTATATGATACTGGGCAGTGTTGGGGAAAGTTACTTTTAAAAGTAATGCATTACAATATTGTGTTACTTCCTAAAAAAGTAACTAATTACGTTACTTAGCTACTTTTTATTGAAAGTAATGCGTTACGTTACTTTTAAAATCTGGGCAGGGCTTGCTTGTTTGCTTTTAATATAAAAAGTCCTATTTTTGGCAAATGTAAAAGCCCTTTCACACCAAAAGCCAGGAAATGTAAATTCACGTCTACAGTAGAACGCAGAAGAAGAAAGTTCAACACTCTTCAGCAATAAAAAAGAAGAAGAAATGTTAGCTTATCTTGTGTAATTTTTGCTTATTAGTATGTAACACAAGACATTTTACAACTTGAACTAAACAAAAAAAAGACATTAAAATGAATTAAAATTGGTGTCATTAAATGTATGAATTGCATTTGTACTTTTGAAAAAAACAAATATATATACATACACACAAATAATTATACTAAACTATAAATACATTTTATATAAAAACATATGAATATATATTGTATATATTAAAATTAGCTACAACACTTTAATTAATTAATTATTTATTTATTTACAAACTTAGCAAAAATGTAACATCTCATTTTCAGGATAGTGTATTTTAAAGATATATATATATTTTTAAAATCCAAATAAGCTCTACATATATTTTTTGGAGAGCGTTTAAACAATGTTTTTCATGAACCATAAACAATTCTTGCACATGTACCTGTACACTGTAAAAAAAAAACGGCAGTTGTGGTTGCCGGAATTTTAACGTAAAAAATAAGGTAGCAACGTTTTAGGTTTTAAGGTTTTAACTTAAATTTACAGTTAAATACCGTATTTTCATTTACTTTTATAATGTTAATATACCAAACTATTGAAGTACTGAAATCTGTTTTGAACCTTTCTAATACACTGATAACCACCAAATGCAGGTGGTGATGAGAAAGTCACATGTTGAACCAAAGCCCATCACAAGCTGCTTTTACTGAAATCTGTTTTGAACCTTTCTAATACACTGATAACCACCAAAAGCAGATGGTGATGAGAAAGTCACATGTTGAACCAAAGCCCATCACAAGCCGCTTTTAGATAACATATATAGAAGGTGCACAGTGTCAGTCACACAAACACCAAACACCATCACGGTAACACACATGAAACTGAAATCATGCAATAAACATTCATTTAACAACATTAGGTGTAACACACAACCCTAATATACAAAACTGATAAGAAAAAACTAAGAAGAAACAGTTATTTTAACAAAAAAACATCAAATTTGAAATGTAACACAGGGAATTCTGGGAATGTCAATTTACGGTTATTCACTGTAACTTATACGGTCTTTTTCACTTCCAAAAACGGTATACTACCGTAAAATTAATGTCCAATACTTGTAATGTCCAATACACTTTTTCACCGTATATAGTAGGGGAATTTAACAGGTTTTTACTGTAGCATTTTTACAGTCTTTTACCGTTAAATTCACGGTCATTTATTACAGTGTGGTTAATAAAATAGGATTAAATACATAAAGGATATTTGTATTATTTAACATATTTAATTATTGCAGCTTTGCGTCATATTCTGAGTTGCTTTTAACTGTTTTTATTAATTTTGAGGAAAACTAAATCTGTTTTTAGTTTTTTTTGTGACTGAGATGAATTAAAGCATGTTCACATTTATTCTAGAACTAAAGTAACATCTTACTCCCGATTTCTCTCAACAAGGGCACAGGAGAGCTTTCAATCAATAAATGGGAAAAAAAAGTAACTGGCGTTACTTATTTGAAAAAGTAATGTGTTACTTTACTAGTTACTTGAAAAAAGTAATCTGATTACGTAACTCACGTTACTTGTAATGCGTTACCCCCAACACTGATACTTGGACACCTGAAATTCATAAAAAGTAAGATCATATTAAACTTGGGCACTTTGTACTTTAGGACTCAGTCAACTTGCAGTCAAAACCCATTCTTTATTGATTAGCGTCTCTGTGTGACTGAACATGAGTTTGGATTGTGTAACAGCTTACCATCTTATTGACCCAGACTCCTACATTTTCAGCTCAGTCAAAATGAAAATATAGGCTAATAAATGTATATTTTCAAGTATAAAATATGAATATAATTACTCTACAAAATGATAAAAAGAAATTACTTTACTAATGGTTTACATTTCATAAACTAACCAGGTTTCAAATTTAGTAAAATATCTTTATATATATTTATAGTAAAATATATTTTTGTTGAACATTTTATTGTTTCACATTTACAAAAGAGTGACAAGTTTTAGTTTTTCGTCTGAAGTATATGATCTGAGATTATTATGCTTTAATCATATACATTTTAGATATTAACTAGGGATATTCAACAATCAACAAAAATCTACAGTTTTCTTAATATTGGCTAATATATTAAATATTATAACTTTACATTTTACATCAATTATTCTATGACTTATTTAATTACATTATCATTTATCACATCTTGAATTGAAGGCTACCATTTTGAGTTATATACCAGTACTTCTAAAGACTAGAAATTGCTATTCAGTTCTTTTTTCAGAATCATGTTTATCATCAACGTAGGTTGAATAACTAAGTAATTTAACAAAAGCTAATTATTTGTGGATTTACCTGCTACGTTGAGAACAGAGAAGACTGTGTTAAACTTCATTCTTCTGTTCTGGTGTGTGTTGTAACTGCTGTTTTATCTGCAGTCAAGTCTCTAATGATCTGTGAAGTATAAGTGCTCCTGCCTTCTTCAGTCATTTTCTTGCCTCCACCCCATCCCATGTTCTCACACTCCAGGCAGCTGTTTGAAATGCATCACTTTATTACTAATATCAGTCATTTTAGGATTTTTGATTATATAGAAGACTTACTATATATACTGAGTAACTTAATTGCTTATTGTCACATTATACAATTCCATGTTTTATGAAAAGGAAAACAAAAAGGCTGTGTCAGACAAGAGAACCAGAGAGGGACCAGAGAGGGATGCTGTGTGAAGAGACAAGGTTTTGGCTACAGCTCTGAGATTGAAGAAGAGAAGCGACACAAGAATACAGAACTATGTTGGAGAACCGATCAATTGGAATAATAGACAGATTTAGTGGCTTTAACGTTTACACTCACAGCTTCAGCTATTAAAGTTTAAACGCATATCCTTATTCATAAAATACAAGAAGAACAAATCTCTATGTAAATTATAAGCTACTTAATTCCATTTATGAATTAATTGTCGAATTCAAATAAATAGGACAGTTTACGTAATGGTTTTATGCTTTTTCCTCTCACAGAAACTCTGTCGGATTGTGTTTCATGAATAATGTCTGTTGACAACATTGACACATGATGAATTATCTTAATGCTTTGCCAAACCACTATGCAGGAAGTTAATGTTATTTGTCAGATTTGCATCTGGGGTATTCATTTAATAATGAATGGAATGATATGTGAATTAATTTACTAGTAATTGCTGCGTTCTGCTTGTGTGATATGTGCATTTATGTGTTTATGAAAAAAAACAACTAATAACATAATATAGGCTACATGTCAAAATATTACACTTGTGTGCTTATCAGGCCATCCCAAATTAAGCAACCTGCAGAGAATCATCAGTGATGGAGAAGATGGTAAATGCCTATAACCACAATTTTTGTCACCGAATTTTTTTTTACTTATTTAAGCATCCAAATTATATGAGATTTGTTCATACTATAATAATAATAAGAATTAAGTATGAATGCGTAGTTGGCCTTTTTTCTACCAACTTCAGTGCCCGTGAGAGTACAACTATGAAGGCTATATTGCTTACAAAAAATAAAACAGGGGATTTTGGAGATCAGACAAAAATGCATTGCACAGGATCCCATTGTTTTTTTAATGTAAGTCAGCAATCATTGGAGGAGATGGCTGACTAAGCTGCTTCTGTGAGGGGTAGCTACTATTTGGTGCTAGATTAGAAACCCAACAAAATCAATTTATGAAGATATCTTGCAAATATGTCTTATATGTAAATACATATGACATTTGTGTCTGGTCACATATATTCATATTCATGCCCTTTTACACTTAACAGAAATGTTTTCTGTGATTGGCTCACAATCAGGTCTCATGCCAGGTGTGTGTGCAATGTGTTTTCGTTATCTAGATTCAGCTAATAACATAAAATGTAATGAGGCTACGTTGTGAATAATGACAAACATTACTTTGATGAACTGAGCAATTATATCACTTTATTCCATGGTCTGTTGAAATTCTTGATTCTGATTGGCTGGAAGGTGTGCAATAACATCGTTTTCTGCTCAGAGAGTTCCAGTATGCGCTCGAGCCGTGCCGTGCTGTAGGCCTACCATAAAAAGCGCCATTAGTAAGTGACAGTTGCACACCGATTGTAAACACATTCGTATCTGTATGAATGCATTTCAATAAATATAATGTTAAAGCACTACTTCATTTCTGTGTCTATATTTATTGAAGTAAACTTCGGCTATTAGATACCCGTGGCATAGGCTATATCACACGCACGATCTCTCTCTCTCCTAGACAAATATTTAAACTATTAAAAAAAAAAAATCGATTTTTTTTTTTTTATTAATTCATTTCAATAAATGTAATGTTAAAGCACTACTTCGGCAGAGATGCCCGTGGTAGCCTATATAGGCCTATCACTCTCTCTCTCTCTCTCTTTGGATAAAGTAGCCTATGTAGAATTGTTTACGGAGCAGATGAAATGCCTATAATTTAATATTTTGGTCCTTTTCTTAAAACTTAGTTAAAGACTAAAATGTGAGGTTTACCAGTTCATAAAACTTTTTTTGTCAAATCTTTATTTGAACAGATAGTACATGTTAATAGATAGCATGTTATGTTGTAAGTCACCCAACCAAAATGTTTTGTTTGTTTAAAATCCAGCCATCATTTTTAATATGACTATTTTAGTGTTTATGCAAATTAGTGCTTCTAATTTTATTTGTTTGTTGGTTCCAATCAACTGAAGATGTTACAAATCTGCCTGGAAGAAGACGTGTGTCTATATCGTCCTAATGCACGGTGAGGAGGAGAGTTTGAGTGGCCAAAGATTCTCCAAGGATCCCAGCTGGAGGATTGCAGAGATTAGTTGAGTCTTGGGGTCAGAACGCCTAAAAATAAAACAGTCTCTACATCACCGTGTTGTTCGGGAGGGTTTTGAGAAAAATCCTTCTCGTTCATCCAAAAACAAACTCCAGCATATTCAGTTGTCAGACACGACTGGAACTTCTAACGGGACTGGCTTCTATGGTCAGACGAAACTAAAAAAAGAGCTTTTTGGCAGCAAACCCACCAGATGGGTTTGGTGCAAACGGGGATAAAAAGTACCCCATGTCCACGGTTACTGTAAATATACTGCTGGATCTTTAATGTTGTGGGCTTATTTTTCTGCCGGAGGTCCTGGACATCTTGTTCAGATACATGGCATTATGGATTCTATCAAATACCAACAGATAAAAAATCTAAATCTGACTGCCTCTGTTAGAAATCTTATAATGGGCCGTGGTTGGATCTTCCATCAGGACAATGATCCAAAACAAACATCAAAATCAACACAAACATGTGTCACTGAGCACAAAATGAAGCTTCTGCCAGTCGTTTGACCTGAACCCTAAAGCAGGGAGAACTGAAGAGAAGAAGCACCAACACGGAGCTGGGAATCTGAAGGATCTGGAGAGATTCTGGATGAAGGAATGGTCTCTGATCTCTTGTCAGGTGTTCTCCAAACTCATCAGGCATTATAGGAGAAAACTCAGAGCTGTTATCTTGGCAAAAGGACGTTGCAATAATTGTGGCCACTGATTTACTTCAGTGATAGATTAGAATTATATGAATTTATTGAATGATAGATCAAAAGAATAAATGATGTAGATTTATTTTCACAGCTGCATTTGCTCATATTTACCAAGGGTGCCAATATTAGTGGAGGGCACTGTATGTGTATTAAAATTGAGATAGAAATCTTTTGAATAAGTTCTGTTGGGAACCCACCCAATTAGGCATTGTTCGGCACACTTCTGTGGAAAGCTGCTGTAAATGTTGTGAGTTTGTGTGTGTTCTGGTGTTTGTAGTCTTAAACAGGCAGACCACAGGATGATATTACTTATATACATAGCTAAAAAAGAAAGAAAGAAAGAAAGCTGTGCTCAAAGCCAAGAGAAATGGATATGTGACAGTCCTTGCTTTCTGGTGTTCATAAAGGAATGGTTCACCCAAAAATGAAAATTTGCTGAAAATGTACTCACCCTCAGGCCATCCAAGATGTAGATGAGTTTGTTTCCTTATCTAAACAGATTTGGGGAAATGTAGCATTTCCTCACTTGCTCACTAATGGATCCTCTGCAGTAAATGGGTGCCGTCAGAATGAGAGTTCAAACAGCTGATAAAAACATCACAGTAATTCACCCTTAATCCACACAGCCCAGTCCATCAATTAATACTCGTGAAGTGAAAAGCTGCATGTTTTAAAAAAACAAAACAAATTCATCAAGATGATTTTAACTTCAAACCGTTACCTGAGGGTGAGTACATTTTCAAGAAATTTTCATTTTCTGGGTGAAATATTCCTTTAATTTAAAATTTTAATAATTTATGATACAGGAGAGTCAGTCACCCAGCTGATTCAAAGTGTAATTTACATTTTAATTATTGGCACAAGGCACATTAATATTTTTGTTGTTGAGTTTCCTACCATTTGATTTAACCACTTGTGAAAATGCTTGTTAATGCATTTTTTTTCATTACAAAAATTTTATAAAAATAACATGAATTGCAGAATGCCTTAGTATTTTGATTGTCATATATTGTGCTTTAATGACAGCAGCACTCAAACTGGGTGAACTCCACAGATTTATGGTAAACCTGGTGATCGCCAGGATGATTTAGGATCCAAAGGGCATCTTGAGAGTCAAATTGTCAGTGTCACACATTTACTTATTGGATTAATAAAGTACACTCTAAAAAATGCTGGATTGTTTCAACCCAATGTTGGGTCAAATATGGACTAACCCAACTGCTGGGTTAAATTTTGGTTACATTTTTAAATTAACTTTTTAAC